TCCTCAGGGCTGTCCCTGCACTGCCCTGTGCCTTGGATCCATGCAGTAAATAACACAGCACCACCACCTCTCCTCCTTCTCCCCTGGATTTCATCCTTGGGTGAAATCATGATCAAATGCCCCATCAGTTCTCCAGGCTTGGGTCTGTCCCCACTGTATCTCACCCTTCATATTATTATATATTCCCCCTCTGCCCTCACAGCCCACCCTTAAACCCCACCCAAGTCCTCTTTTTGCCAAAAGCCTCAATGTGCCCACCCCTGAGAATGGGACACACTCGTTTCAGGGATGTGAGAGCTGCTCTGTACCTCAGTGAGAAGGAAGGAGATGGCAGAGAAGGCAAACGACCATCCGTATTTGTAGTTGAAGAATGTTTCTGAGTCCTTGGTCCTGTTGAGCATCTCATCATTAATGCTGGATATGTAGAGGACCAGCCCCACCACCAGCGACAGACCTGGAGCAGGACAGAGGGAAACACATCAGGGATGAGGAAGCTGCTGAAGAAGCATTTTCCTTAAGACCTGACTTGTATGGGAAAGTGTAAAGCTGTAGAAGTGTGCTTGGAATAAGTGGGGCAAGGAGCTGCTCTCCTGCTGCGCCGACCCAGAGCACTTCTCTCACTTCAGTCAAAGCATCACCTGCTCAGGCAACTCCGTGTGCACTGGGTAAGAGGTAGCTGGCTCCGGGAGGAGTTGGCTTCAAAGCTCAGCTGTCACAGCTATTTGTTTAACACTCACACAACAGCATAAATAAAACATTCACTTCTCTCATGTAAAAACATCCCAACTGAGCAGTTTGAAGTTTCAGATCTCTCCTGCAACTGACATGCCATGAGAAACATCCTCTCCCCCAACACCTGCTCCTGCACAGGTGGTGAGGGCAAACATTTCCATACCACTGCCACAAACAAATTTTGCACTGCATGGTTTTCCATCCCCAAAGTCCAAGCAGGCTGTGGGGCCAAGCCAGGAGCCCCCATGGGTGATGATTCCATCAATAAACCAACACAATGGGTTAGGAAAGCACCAGCAGCTACCAAAGCAAACATGCTCCATGCTCAGGGGGTGTCAGGAAAAAACCTGGCAAGCAGAGCTCACCTGACAGGATGAAGAATATCCCCGAGACAAAGGCAAGGATGGTCCTGTGGGGCCGAATGTGGCCGATGTTGCTCAGGATGAAGCCAATGAACATGAAGAAGAGGCTGACCAGGGGGAAGGGGGTGGCAGAGCGGATCATCTCTGTCAGGAGAGGAGCAGAGGGAAGTAAGAACAGGTTAATCCTCCCCATCTAGTGTGAGAAATGGGCTTGGCTGGGTGAGAGGGCTCCAGCCCTGCTCCTTTCTGACCATGTCATATCCTTCCTCACTCCTGGTTAATGTGAGTACCTTGCACTGCTCCTCACTCCCTGGCAGAGGATCCTCTCTTTGCTAATCAGCTGGATAAATCCTAGAATGGTTTGGGTTGAAGGGATCTTAAAGACCACCTCGTTCCCCCCCCTGCCATGGGCAGGGACACCTTCCACCAGCCCAGGGTGCTCCAAGCCCCATCCAACCTGGCCTGGAACAATCCCAGGGATGGAGCAGCCACAGCTTCTCTGGGCAACCTGTGCCAGTGCCTCACCACCCTGGTGGTGTCTCTGCTAATGTTGGCATTTCTGAGCGTTTCTATGTGAAGAGTTATACAGGAAAAATCATCATAACCTTCCTTTTTTTTCTAGCTTCACTCCAAAACTGTTTGGGGAACACTTCTATTTATTAAATCAGAAATGACTGCAGAATTCATGGTGAGAGTTGTGACACTCCACCCTTAATTCAGCCTACTCTATAATGTATAAAATTGTCTGCTAGAGGATAAATACAGCTGCAAATTATAGAGGAGACTAAAAAAGCCAAACACTTTGATAAACATTAGTGCTGAATAGCCAGTGACAGGCAATTGTACACTTAGAGCCTCTGTGAGCATCTTGCCATTAGAAAGGGATGTCCCAAAATCTTAGGAGCACCCTGGGTAATTCACATAGTAAAATGTGTACTTGCATCCTTGCATGGGAGCAGAGTCGAGGAACTCGGAGCTTATTTGGCAAGGACACAAAGGAGATTTCTTGTGGGAGTCCCTAGTGACCCTCTGCTGCTTTGCAGGATGCAAAGGGTGAGACTCCCCCCAACCACTTACTCAGGACGTTGACTGTGGATTCAGATGTCAGCTGGATGTTCATGGGCATGACATACTCAATGGTGAAGCACCGGCCACGCTCTTAAAAAAAAAGACACAGCTCACACCTGCACCATGCTTGTCTGTTTATTTCTTTTGGCTGGAGAGTGACTTTAAAATTAATTTCCACACATGCATAAAACCAATTCACTTTTTAGTGCTGTTTCCACCTTGGGTGTCAGTGGTCAGACATCTCTTAAGTACCATTTCTTGTATACCAAAACATGAACCCTGAAGCCAGAAGGTTTAAACTCACCCCAGCTCACACCTGCACCATGCTTGTCTGTTTATTTCTTTTGGCTGGAGAGTGACTTTAAAATTAATTTCCACACATGCATAAAACCAATTCACTTTTTAGTGCTGTTTCCACCTTGGGTGTCAGTGGTCAGACATCTCTTAAGTACCATTTCTTGTATACCAAAACATGAACCCTGAAGCCAGAAGGTTTAAACTCACCCCAGGAGCAGTATCAGAGCTCCTCAATCCCCCCCCTGACTTTTTCAAAGTTGAAACTTCATGATATTTCAGGTTGGTCACTTTGAGATTCACATTCCCTTGGGTTTTATTCAATTTCATCCCTGCAGCCAAGACAGACTTGGCATGGACAGAGGGAATGGTCCAGCTGACCTGAAACTTAATTTTCCAGGGATCAAATGGAAAGCAGTGAGTTGCACTGTGGCCACAGCACTGGGACAGGGCAAGAGTTCTAAATAGCAGCAGCAAACTCACCCAAAGCCTTTGTGCTAAGGCACATTTACCCATGGAATTTTGCAGTTGGGCACAGGGCAATGATGCAGCCCAAGTCTGTGCCTGAGTTTGGAAGCAAAGACAGGCAGAGCTTTAAAACCCCCATTTTTCCTGGCCCTTTCCCACGGGATGACACTGATACACAACAACCATCACCTTAGCTGGGGAGATCTTTGTCTGGGAGATCATACCTGCCAAGAAGCAAACCCTCCAGAGCCCCGAGTGCAGCGACAGCTTGATCTCCGCCGTCTGGTTCTGGGGCTGGACGATGCCCTCTTCCAGGTAGAGCCAGTAGTCTGTGCTGACAGAGATGCCCAGGAGGCCAAGGCCACAGACAGCAAACACACTGCTGAGCAGGGTCAGCGCCTTCCTGCTGCAGGCGCTCATGCCCAGGAGCATGGGGGGCCCAGGTGGGATCGGCTGCGGGAGAGGACGCGGCCGTCAGCACGGAGCTGCCTGGCACCTCTTGGGAAACAGCTGTGCCAAAGCTGGGCCCTGAATTGATTGTGTAGGCTGAGCTGAAATCAGCCATTAAAACAATCACTGACAGATGAAGAGTTTGAAGCAAATCCCACCTGACTGATTCCCTGCGCTGACCCAAGGCTTGGGATGTGCTGAGCACCGCGGTGGCGGCGGCACAGGGTGGACTGTCTTGGAGCAGCTCCTTGGCTCCTGTTCTGCAGGTGAATTTCTGCTTCTCCAGCCAAACCTGGTGATCCTATCCCCAGGGATGCAGCCAAACCACAGCATCCTTTCTATCCTTATCGAGTGCTCCCATGAGGGTTGGCAGCACAAGACATATCTCCTGGGCACAGGAACCTGCTGAGGTTCATGGACACTGTGCTAACAGACCAACAAAGGTACTTAGAACTGCTGGACCAAACCCTGCTCCTGAGCAGCTCCCATCACCATCCCATTCCCCCCAATATTGCCATTTTTCCTCTTCCAGGGGATCAAAATCCTGATTTGAAAAATCCTGATTTTGCAAAAACCATGCAAACTGAATGACATCATGGAACACTTTGGTGCAGAGCAGTGTGATGCAATAACCTGCCTCTATTTTTTGCTGTTTATTGTGCTTGCTGGATCAGAGCTGCCAGTGCCCTCCCTGGTCCAAACCCAGCTTGTGCTTTTTGGGGGAGACAGGGAAATGGGGACAGAGAGCTGCAGCCAGCAAAACCTTCCCTCGTCCCCATGTCATTGATGGATAGAATCTTCTTTTTCATTGCATTGCATTTTTGCTAATTTGTGGAATTGAGCAGTTCTCATGGTGCCCTGCAGACTGAGAAAATAGCACCAGAAATAAGAGCTCTTGGTGCAGCAGAGAAAAAGTGCAATTCATATGGGGGGGAAAAAAAAGCCACAGCAGTGAAAGATTAAAGGAATAAGAAGAAGAAGGAAAAAGATCTGTGTGAGAGATGGTCTTCTGGGGAGTGGGAAGAGGCAGATAGTGCTATTGACTGCTTTTATAAAGGCAGAATGAATCACAGATAAGTGCTGTGTCGTGTGGATTTTCCAAGGCACATTGTGTTGTTGTTCACACTGCAAACAATAAGGGGGGGAAAAAATAAAATAAATCCAGCTAGACAAAAAAAGCTACTGAATTTAGCAGTGGGATGCACCTTCCTTGGGCTCCCTTTAGAACTGCTCCATCACTGCCTGTGCTCCTGCAGTTTGCTATCCTGGTGCACAGCAGTGAACAGGCACTTTGGAAGAGAAGTCCTGATGCTGTTATCACTGCAGTGAAGGTGGTGGTTCAGTGATTAAATCAAGAGATGCATTAATACCTAGTTACTTACTTACAGTTGACTGTCAGAGATGCCAAAAGTCCTCACAACTTGTACTTTTACACTCGAAAGCCTCCGAAGATAATGTCCTGCCATAGTTCCCTCATGGTTAATACAAGTAGATGATACTGAGAGTGGTTTCTTGCTGCTCCAGTGCACTGGGGAGCTCTGCTCTTGCACTGCCCATCCCCAGTCATCTGGCTCACAAATCCACAGCACCAAGCTCCCCAAGCTCACAGCAAGTTTCACACAAGGCTATCATGAAGGAAACTTGTAGTTTCTATGGAGTCCAAAGAATGGCATTTACTCAACAGATGCCAACACCCAAGGCCTGTTTGCTCCTCCAGCTCACTGCACTGGGCAACAATTAGAGAGAAAAGCTGAAAATGCTGCTGGAAGAGTATGAAATTCTTGAGTGAAAGAGGGAGAGAGAGAGAGACTTTAATTATTGCATCCAATCCCGAGTCCTAAGCAGACAAGTACATCTTGGTAGGAAGCAGATGCATTTGCACCCTCGAGCACTGCAACAGTTCTGACAATTCTCTTCCATATGAAATTAAGGATTTGGCTCCTCCTACGTTCACACTGTGCTGTTTCCCAGAAGGTACCAACCTGGAATAGCATTGCTGTCTCCAGACAGCCCAAGCAAGTGCTCCAGCTCACACTCCTGCAAGCTTTCCCTCCACCTTTGGCTTTGCTAACCAGCCTCACTTGTAATGTTCTTACTTAATGTTTCCCTCAGCTCAGGGAAAGCAGGATCTGTTCCCAAGGGGAACACCTCCCTGCTAGGGGAGCCAGGAGAGAGGCGTAGAAGAGGTGCTCAGATTTTTTTGTTTCCCTGAAGAAATAGGAGGCAGCAGCTAAATGAAAAACTGGTGACTATGGGGCAGAGAGGCACATCAGCCCTTCACCTGCCATTTCCCAGGGAATATGCCATTTCCCATCTCTGCACAGATTCCCATTTGATCCAGCAATCAACCAGCCAAAACACAGATCCTCTGGCACATCCATTCTTTTCCCTAACCCAGCCAGAGCCATATTTTCTAGTTGCTGCCTCAAAATGAACAGCATTTACTACAGGGTGTCTCATCCCTCTTGGCATTTCGATGCCAAAATGGTAAAAGGAACTGGAGTCTATTCTTGGCTCATATACCACCAACAACAATCCTCCCTGCACATTTTTCGTTAATAACGAGCCAAAAATCATAGTAGGGAGTATGTGAAGGTCCAGATAAAGCCACTCAGAGGGAAATAGCTAAGTATTTCCTGTGATTTGTTGCCCATCAGCATCAGGCACTGGAAAATAGACCCATTTGACATCATTTCTGTTGGTCATTGGGGTGAGGTGAGCAGCAGGGAGAGGGGTTGGGAGTCAGAGTTGCATCTCTCAATTGCCTCATTCCTCTTCTCTCTCACACTTCAATTTCCATGTAATCACGGATGCATTAGAGAGTGATCCCTATTGCTGCCTCAGTGGCACAGAGAATCGAACCTGATGTGATGGGGGATGGGGACAGGGATGGTGCAGAGCAGCACTCAAACCTTTCCCCATGCCCAGAGCCTGGAGAATTAACAGGGCACCCAAGAGAAAGATTTCTTGAAGACACAAACAGGAACTGGCTTGATTTTCAGCAAAGATTTAGTCCCCAGTGACCTTTATCAATTGTGTTATGCTTCCTGCAGCTGAAAAGGTGATGCTGTTTGATTTCCAGCAGTAGCTCTATTCTAAATTAAATGAATATAGCCCCAAAGATTTCCAAGAAATAGGAGCTTAGAACAGTTCCTGCTCCTTCGATCACACTGTGCCTTCTGGTAGTAGTCCAGGGAATAATAAAGGCAGTCTGCAATGTAATCTGCTGGCCTCATGATGAATTTCTTCTTCTCTTGGAGCCACAGCTTCTGATGGAGGCTGCACACAGCCCTTGCTGGGACCAAACCCTTCGGGAAATGAAATTAATATTGGCATTGTTCCTAACACAGTTCACCCTTACCTATTGCTCCATGGTCAACAGAAAGAAAATATCCTGATGTCTAAGCAGATTTTTAAGCCCACTCCTCCATGACCACCTAACACCAAGCACAAACTACTGTTCTGGGCTACTTGGATGGGCTGAGAAAAATAAATATATCACCAGTCAACTGCCTGGACAGGATGGGTTGTATCAATAAATTACTGCTCTGAGTTCACTGGAAAACAACACTCCCTCCTGCCCTGGGTAAAGGCAGAAAGAGCAGGACCAAGCCAGGCCAAGGAGGTGGCTATTGATTTTTATGTGGCTGGAGCATCATTTCCAATTTCCTGACATTTGTGGGGAGAGGAAGCACTGCCAAGATGATTGGAGCAGACAGGGGGGAAGGTGTTGTTTGTGGAGGGATCCAGGACAAGCCTGACAACCTACTCTGTGGCTGTGAGTGCCTGGGCCATGCTGCAGGCCAAGGGCAGAGGCAAATCAGAGGTTAAGCCATGGATCTGGAGTAGTAGGAGAGGCTGAGCAGAACATGAAGGAGAAGGAATGAAGCCTGTGAAAGGGGAGTAGGAAACCCACCGAGAGATGGATGTACAAAGAACATCAGGGACCTGGGTAAGAGGCATCAAATGCAGGAGAGTGTGAGCTGTGATGGAGCTGAACTGAAAGGACCAGTTCCCACCAAGCTGCAACAAGAAAATCAGGCTGGATAAAAATAAAGGGCCTTCAGCAGTGTGATCCCTTCCTCAGGACACAGCACAGGCCATGGAAACGGGCAAAAAAACAGGTCAAGGAGAGTGACTCTTCCAAACAAGACCAGTATGAGGAGAGCACAGTGAGTTGAATTTAGCCACAAATGAGGAGTGGAAGAGGAGGAGATGGTGAGGGCAGTGCCCACTGCTCCATCTGGGGCCCCAGGAGAAGCAGCTCCACAAACCTGACCTGGAAAACTAGGTGACTGGGAACTATAGTTTTGGGTTTGGGATTATTGCTTGGGAAGTGACAGTCCCTCCTGAAGCTTAGAAGAGGTGTACTGCAGGCAGGAGAGAAACACAAGACTGCTCTGGCTCCATGTAATAGCTGAAGGAGAGCAGGGATGGTTGCAGAGAAGAGCAGTGTCTCCTGCACTGGTACTCTCAGAGGGAAATGGCCAAAGAGGATGAGGGTTGGAGTTGGTCTGTAGGAATCCCAGAGCTCTGTCTTGGGCTGGCAGCACCTGCCACCTCCTCTGGCACATGGTAAGACAGAAATACATAAGGCAGCTTTACAGAGCTGCATTAGTGTCATATAGAAATGTCAGCTCCATTTCTGAGAGAGAAATTATGTATTGGAAAAATTAAGTGCAGAAATAAATCTTTTTGATGTGGAGGAGGTTTAGCCTGATACTAAGAAATGAAACAGCCCATCTCATGGCAGTTTGGACAAGTGCTAGCAACTGCAGCTATGAGGAGCCATAAACTTCAAAAGGATCAATACTGGGCTCCAAAGCTGCTAAGAGCAGTGCTGCACAGACAGCTCCACACTCAGCACTGCTGTCACCAGCACATGGACATGGCAGTGCTGGTTTGATGGGCCAAAGGGTTCACAGCCTCCCCAGGGAGGGATTGGCAATAAAGAAATAAATGAATAAATTAAAGGAAGGCTG